AAGGATTGAGAAAGGTGCAGTTAGGGAATCAGCTTTGTTTCAGTCCCTATGGAGGAAAGCAAAGTATTTTTCAGCAGAAAGTTTTGACTTTTCTCAAGCCTGTCACATTGCATGTATCACTGACTTCTTGAATCATCTTTGTGTTTTAACACCTTGCTGACTTCTTTTCTCTGTTACAAGTTAAAGGTCTATCAATCAGCCGTGATTTTTACCAGTCATCACCCAATACATTTCAACTTTAGTAACGTCAGTAGGCTGAGGCAGTTACTCCATTTAAGTAAATATAATTTACTTTGACCAATAGGGATCTGCTTGTTTCCACACGGTAGCTCAAGCTTTAGTATTCTTTCTTACCCGATGAAAAGAAGTGTGCATTCTTTGGGAGAGAAAAATTACATGTATCAAGTGCTTTATTTGAATTAGTATGTCGTGATATAGGTAAGTTTTTAAAAGTCTAGGCATTCTTGCGGCAGGGAGAAGCAGGATGTGCAGAGCTATACATACAACTGTTCAGCATGTCTTTTTCTCATTTGTGGTGCCTGAGTGCAATCACATCTTTGCATGTGTAGTAATACTCTTAAAGTGAGGTTTGGGGGAGTTTTGTCACCATGTTAATTAGGTACAGACAGGACTTCTGTAAGATTAATTTAATTAATGGAATGTGATCATAACGTGGTATGCTCGCATAGAGGGGATTCTGGGTTCCAGAGAACCAGGTTTCTCAAAACCTCCTCGCTCACCAACAGTTACCAGTAGTGTGGTGCAAGCTATTTATTTAAATCCCGAGGAGATGGCCATGGTTTTTAGTGTTTCTGTAATTAAGAAAATGCTCAACTTTCTTCTGCTTGCCTAATCCTGCTCTTTTCACAGCCATGGTTTCCCTTCTAAACCTGCTGGTACTAGCTGGTAGGTCAGACCTAAGGACAATCGGCTTTCGTATGGCTTGGCTACATGTTATATACTTGCACGGTTATGTTAAAAGGGGGAAAACACAAAGATTAATGTAGTTGACAGGCAGACAGATTAAATACTAATATCCACATGATTATTTAAATTTCAGACCTTTACAAATATTTTATACTAAATAAAATGTTCTTACTACATGTTTAAAGTCTGTAAAGAACATCGAAGATTAATAAAAGTACCAGATTACTGAAAATCCCACTACCTAGGGACCCAATGATTTTTTTAATTCAATTTTTTTTTCTTCCCTCCTCACCCATTGAAAAGCTTTCTGTTGTCAAGCCAGCTGTTCCTGGTCTTGAGCCATGTCAGTACTATACTGTGATAAGCTTTTTTGTAGAGGTACTGAAATATTTGTATGTATCTGCAGATGCAGAACAAGTGACGATATGATTTCAGAAATTGCACAGTAATTAAAAGAGCAGCATACAAATTAAAACAGATAAATTAAGTTAACTAATTAGTAATCCCTAGAAGGAGGAAAAGTAGATTTTAATAGGGCATGACAGCTGCAAATGAGTATGTCCTATTACTGAGAGTGTCTCTACCCAAGTTCCTATAGCGATTTTAAAATGTTTTCTGACCTTTTGTTTTATACCGTATATTCTGTAAAATGTATGGCTAACTGCAATTACACAAGCAGCTCTGGGATTGTGGTTGTTGTTATTATTTATGTTTGTTTACAAATTGGCACCATAGCTGTAATAGGGAAGGAAGCAGTTGTAGAGCAGCAGCTTCAGGTTGGCTTACAAATCACCTGTTCAGGAATGGTAATTAACAGGAGACCTCTCAACCTCAGCAGCTCTGCAGCTGTGCCTGCGCAACCCAGCTGCCCACATGGCTCCCAGTCACGAAGCTACAGAATTGTGTTTGGGCTTGCTTTTACTCTCACCCGGTGGCCAGTTAAGTACTTCATGGATGGAGTAAGAGTTTCAACAGATGGGGCCAAGACCTCTGTATCACAGACTACTCTCCAGTCAGGATATTTGAGCACATCCTGGGGAAAGTGAGAGAGTTAAATTTTTTTTCCCCAGTGCTCAGTGATTGGTTTAACTGTGACACATTTAGAGCAAAGCCTCACTGACTCTTCTGCTGATCGCATTTTGTTGCAAATCTCAACTTGGTATTCATGTGGGAATGAATTAAGATCACAGGCTGAGGAAGAAAAGGAAAATAACTGGAGTGTTTTGAGATGTATTAGTGTCTTGCAGTTTGTCCTGCCCATCAAGCCTGGAGCTCTTTTGACCATCTATCTTCTGAACCAGCACATGTGTCCTGCTGCACATAGTGAATGTTAAGGATCACAGCACACATCCTACATGTCTGCTGCTTCTCAGCACTTAAAATCCCAGAATAGGGAATAAGCCTATGGATAACACAACTTGAGTAATGCTACTGAACATGAAGTTAAGGATTTCTTCCTTCTTAGACTAGTTGTCTGTCTTGCAAAAACACTAACCGTGCTATATGCAAAAAGCACTTGGATATCTGGGAGAAGTACAGGTCTGTGGCCTCAGCCAGCTGCAGCCCTCAGGGAAATTCAGAAATAGTAACATCTTTTGAGTGTGTAACTACAGCTTGAGTCCACACATCGATTAGAAGCAACTGCTGCTTCCCCTCAGCTTTTCAGACAGAACAGCATGCATGACTCAGGTCTGTGGAAGTATCATCTGATCAATGCTGAGAGAGAAGTAATTCAATAGACTCTAAGCTTTAGTCAGCCTTAAATAAATTCAAGGAAGAGACATCATATACAGAAGGCTTATTTATTGTTTATACAGCGCCTCAGATATGCATGACACCTCACAGGCAAATAAAGACAGTCTTTGCCCCAAGGAGCTTACAAGCTAAATTAAATAAAAACCAGCCAAAATGACAGCATATCCATAATTATGGAAAGAACACAAGGTATGCAAACAAAATTACTGCTGTTCAGGGAAGGAATAATTTTGTGCATAATATATATTTACTCCATTTTCCATATCCTGTTTGTGACTGCTGTGATCATGAAATACAGAAGCTGACATACCTGACTTGTGAACACTGCAAGATATTTTAGCCTATGTTACCTCACAGATAAATATATCAGTAAAATTACAGAATCACAGACTAGGTAGCATCTGTGAATCAAAACTATTAGGCATAGGTAAAAATGGCATTTAGCTTTTCCAGATGAAAATGCTACATCATCTGCAGTGTGTAACCATTGGTTAATTTTGTGCTCAAGATTTTCCAAAGTGTGTCACAAATGCATGCAAGAACAAGATACTGTGTGAACATTTCCCAAATGAGAAATGTGCAAATTAATCTAGCCTGCAGACTGCATTGACCTATTTGTTTAATATATGTATAAAAATAAAAGCCAGACCTCCCGAAACAAGCTACTGGTGCAACTGTAAGCAAAGCCGTTTTAATGTCTTTTACAATACATTGTTTTATGCTTTGTTTTAATGAAACAAATTAAATTATCTTACAATCTATATATTATCAGCTGTTAATATATTTACACATTATACAAAGAAACAGCACAGAATAAGGTTTTTGTTCTTGCTGCACTCCACTTAAATATACAAGTGGTCTCAATTAAAAAAAAATAGTCAAAATTAATTTTATGAAGTCTTCTCTCTTCCAAATATTGTCAAGTTTCAAAAAAAAAAAAAAAGCAGAATACTAGCTAGACATTAAGCAGTCTGAAAAAGGGACTGATAATTTAAAGCATAATGTTCCACCCCCTGCAACTGCTGTTAGTTTTCCCCTGTGTTTCTCTGTCCCCAATTAATGATGATTTTCTACTAAAATATATCTTAGGGAGGCCTGTATTACTATGTGCTGTCATTCATGGGTTTGGGAAAATTACCATCTTTGAATTGTCAGACTTTTGGCAGGGTTTTGTTTATCACAAGATTTTAGTTTTAGAATCCCAGTGCTGGGTGAAGTTCTTTTTTGGAGACAGGAAAGACCTTCAGTCTTCTGACATCCTCAGGACACTAGGTATTTTGACAACATCCAAAGGATGCTGGGTTTTTTCTTCACTGAAAATGCATCTGTATCCCCAGTCAACTCTGCCTGAGAAGGCATTACTTGGCTACAGGTGTAGCTGGTCAGTGCTTCTATTAAAGCAGTCAATCTCCAGCCTCTCACACCTAATACTTGCAATGCTTCTATGAAAGGAGGTTTAGCAAGACATGGGAGACAGGATTGTAGATGCAAGTGACATGGTTCAGGCTGGTCCTTAATTTAGCCTCAGTTTAGTAGCCCATTAGGAATGAGAGAATATGGTGAACTGTGGTGTTCGCTACTGAAATTCTTAACTAGTGACCTTTGAGGCTAGTATCTTAGAAAACCCGGCCTTTTAATTAAGTATTTAGCTGCAAGCAGCTGACTTGACATGTTGTGCCTAAATCTAGTTTCTGTGTTTATATGACAGCATAAAGGGATTTCATTAAGTTAGACCTGAAGTTAAAACTCACTGTCTATGCTTTACCTGGATCTGTAGACTCTCATCTGCCCTGTGTTCAATGAGCAGGTGCTGTAACTGAGGTCAGTCAGGGAAACAAGATGGATATAATAATACAATATGGACTTTATTTCCACAAGAAAAAGACTATGTGCTTTTTTCTTTCAAATAACTGCTAAAGCTGCTGAAAACAGTACACACAGCATGCTTTATTCATGCTTTGAGCACCATCTTAGCTTATGTACATAGGATCTCTCAAAGAGTCCTTTATTACCTTAGTGACAAAAAAATCTGTTTCTTAAACACTGCATGTGAATGACTAAGTACCCCGAGTTCTCCCTTTATTCTTTCCATTGTTTATATCCCCAAATGCAAATGTCCAGAATGTCCCAAGCTTAGCTCCTACTACTGAATTTTTCAATTAGATTCAAAGTGTGGCTCATCAGTGGGAATTTGACCACCTAGCATAACAGGAAAAAAAGGGGGGTGGGAGGGGGGGGCAGGGGTAGTACGTAGCAGCAGCATGAAAAACTGTCCTTCACCCTTGCTTCCAAAACTTTGAAAATAGTAGACTTGGTATCTACAGGTCTTCTGCATCTATATGTGAGTACAGTTCACTTAGTTTCTCAAACTGTGGTCCCCAGTCTTTAATGTCATCATACACTATACCCTCATCCAGCCCGGAGGAGCTCAGGGTAATCGGACTGCTAGCAACTGAGCCTTCTCCTTCAGTGCAAAATGCCCGCAGTGAGTCTGGGGGTACAGCCTGGGGATGACCATCGGCATCTCTGACAACATCTGACAAGTACTGACCAAAGTCTGTGTTAGTGAAAGAGGCTTCTGTAGTTGCTGATGTTTTGGTCTGCTCCTGGGCGCCTGGGGATGCGTCACTACAGAAACTGTTCAGTGTTGGTGTTTTTTCTTTCTTCTTGTAGAGGGAATAGACTGGGCTGGTTTGAATAGACACCTGCAGTTCTGCCATATTGTATGCATCCTGGAGTGAAAAACCATTCACATTAAATTAATATTCTCTGTAGGTCCCTAAATTTCACATTCTAGTGGAAATAAGGAACAATCCCGAAGCAGTCCGTTTGGTGTGAACACATGAAGGACTGGCTTGTTCAACCAACTCTGCCACCTACAATGCACCTAAGAAAGCCAAAACCCACCAAGCAGATGAGAATGCGTGAGGAACACCTGGGCAGCCTGCACTACTGCAGTTAGGTTCAAAATCAAGTTTAATTTCATATTAGAAGCTAAATAAAAATGACAAACACCCAAATTTTTGTTCTGAAATTCAGATCTGAGTATTTCATCATCATTAAACACCGATACCGAGTCTGGCAACAAAGGTGAGAAAGGATATTGACAAATAGCATGTTAAATCTTTCTGCATTAGTAGTTCAAACACCTACTGTGATTTCTGTTAAAATTCTATCTATCTGTGGAATAATGGTGAATTATGTTATACGAAGTGGCATGATTGTAAAAGCCAAGTAACTACCTATTGCAAGAAGAAAAAAAAAAAAAAAAAAAAGCCCTTCTAGGGCAAAAGCAGTTAATGCTGCCTGGTAATTGTGCCGCAGTTCCTGAAGTGCAATTTCTGTCACTAAAGCTACCAATACCGTACGTGGTAATTGCATTAGCTGATCAGAATCTTTATGCCACCTGAAAGAAAGAAAAGAACTGTTGTCCTACAGCATCCTTCACCTTTCTACAATCCAAAGGTTGTGTCTCTGGACTCATTTACAGGCCAAAGAAGAATGTTGACAGGCTGCATGAGGCAGAATTCGTTAGAGCAAACAAGCAGTTATTTGTATTGTTCATGCTATTCATCTGAATAGTAGCCATCAATGACAGAGCTGTCAAATCAGCACCTTCCAAAAGATTACATTTATTCTCTCGCATGTTGAATTGCACATAGCCATTTTATAAGAGATTAACCTAGGTCATCTGGGTGAGCTTTGCTGAATTTCAATTCGAGACAGAGAACTGCTTCAAGAAAAACCCCACCTGCAATCAAGAAGCCCTGTAAGTGGCAACACTAGGGTTTGGGACAGGACTGTGACATAGAATAGCTGCTTACTTCCATTCATCTAGAGACTAAATACTGTTAGTGATGAACAATGTGAGACCTACAGCGCACATGCCTAGCCATGTTCCAAGTAACTGCAAGCTACAGTATGATCCCACTATGAGCATTTTATAATAGCATGGCTACCAGTATAATCAATAAAACATCGCAACTTTTCGTCATACAAAATTTAAATGGGAGTTTGTCCAAATACAGATTTAAGATCATCCCTTCAGTGAACTGGGTGCTATTAAAATCATCCTCCACTGCTATTAGTTGTTCATTAAAATGACATATTTCTTCTGACTACATACCAGTCTTAGTTGGCAGTCCACAAACCCAAGTTGATCCTTGCCTCTAGCTTCAAAGCTGGCTTTTAACAACATTTGGTGTTTAGTTGTGTTAAATATATACTCAACGGTGCAGTAATCTGCTACAATTTTTATAAACTCCTAATTTCTCTGAGGGATAGTTTTATTTCAGGTGCAGAAACTACTTAGTAAGACGGCCTCTTGTCCCCATAGTCCTACCCTCCGCTAACATTACAAAAACAAAACTCTCTTGTCCAAGCGCCCTTGTGATCCTTTTGTTAAGGTAAATTAGAATACAATTAAAGTATTGTAATTCTGAGTATTTGGGGGGTTTTAAATCTAGATAAACAATCAGGTATTAAAAAGGATGCTGGAAAGTTTTAGCTGCAATCCCAGCAACTGTAAAATCTGAATAATTTAGGAACAGTACACAGAACCTGTGGAGACTTCACTCCAAGCAGCATTTCTTCAAGACAGAGTAATAGCCTCAGATGAAGATCATCAAAAATAAGGAGTGTATTTTAAGAACTCTCCAAAAGTAATTAAACATATCATACAGTAACTGTGGATTTCCTCAATCTATAGACCTTCTGGGTATAAAATTGCAAAGTCTTGCAGAGGAAGTTACTCTGATTAAGGAAAAAAGTATTTATGCATATAGCTATCTATGTTATCACATGGAAAATGTCCCTGTATCTATTATGTTCACACTAATTCATCAAGAAATTAAGGATACTCTACAACTAAGAATATTTTCTCAGGTGGCCTTGTAAAACACTCTCCGTATTTTATAACTAAAAATTCATGGAAGATATTTGGAATTTTGGGACAGGTTACATTTAGTTGTTTTTTTTTAAATCGCTGGCTTTTTTTGACCCATCACCTTAGTGACCTGACTATTACTACCCCTGCAGAGTCACACCACCTTTTGAATCCATGAAATGAACAGTTTCAAAGACAGCAATGAAGTTCCTTACCTATTTTAAACATAGCACATGTCTGTTGGTCAGCAAATAATCTATTTAAATTACTCATCTATATCATCTCCAGTTTTCTTTTGAAGTTCTGGCTTAAACTGACATGTAGAAATCCTTAAAACAGCTAGCAGAAATGTCAATACTGTTTTGGGTATAGTCTGGTCTACTGTAAGTATAAACACAGCTTGTGTTCACTAGTGTATTTCTCTCCAAAACAGAAAAAAACAGAAAGGTTCCACAACCACCATGTGCTTTAGGATTTAAGAAGAAGAAATGTAGTACCTCACTTTCTTAACGAGTCAAGTCTGAATAACTGCCGTTGTTATCTGCTGCTCAGAAAGAGACTGTCCATAAAGAACAGTTCACATCAGGCTCTTTGAAGCCCTCAGTGCTACAGCAGTAATTACCCCCGAGAACCTCAGCGTCTCCTGAGCCATGAAACCAAAAAAGTCTTTACTGCTAAACTCACTCTACAACCATTTTTAAATATGCACAGAGGATCACTTGCTTTAAGACAAATTAAAAATTGATAGGCACTTATCTCCACTTAAGAAACATGCACCTTTGTGTACATAACCTTGCAAATAATTAATCTACCAATTGCAGTAATGAATCAGCAGAACAAAGGCTAAGGTCCTCAGTTATAAAGGAAAACCATAATACATATTTTCATTAGCATGGTGAGCCATGAGTCCTCTCTTAATTGTAATGTAACACAGTGATCCTTACTTCGTCTTGTTCCCCACCCCCTTCTTCATTGTAGTTGAGGATATTTTCTCTGATGTCCTCCAAATCTTCATGATACCCAGACACAGGGTAAACTCCTCCGCTCAGACCTTTGCGAGTCTTCCAGCAAGCCCACAAGAATACAGCACTGAACAGAGCTGTGTAAACACACAGGAGCAAAACAGAACATCATTCAGAAACAAATCAAACATTTATATACAGAAGTGCTGCAGGATGGCTTAGCAGCCGTTCTACATGAGTACTGCAGCACTGGTTTGCAGTCAGAGCCAGCAAGGCTGTAATTTTGTGTTTCTCAGCAAATGTTTGATTTTTGCATTCTTCAATGTAGTTACAAGTGAACATAAAAGACAGAAGAAAAGGCCTTTAAAGAGCATTTTAAAATACCCTTTGAAGTACAACTTTGAAGTTGTTAAAGAACTGAATGACCCAAGTGGCATTCGGAGACCTATCTATTTACTGTATTGAGTTAAACTTTGTAAGAGAAAATGTATACAAAGGGGTAGCACTTAAGTGACAATGTGTTGACAGTAACAGATACAATTACACAGAAATGAAGCACAAGAAGACATGAGACAAAAGAGGAAATAACTGTTATACATTTTACTAGGAAAAAAAAAGTTAGGCACATTTTGCCTTAGCATCCATAAATTTAAACATTTTTCTTAAATGCTTAGGTACATTTTACACACTGACAGTTGTAAAGCTACAACATCAGATACTGAGCATTATGTAAATAGAAACCTGTGAACCGCTGTGTTACCAACTCTATAAAAGTTGATAAGAGCTCATAGTAAGACCTCAAACCACTGAATACCATAAACTAACAATGCAGTTAATTAAAAAGACCAGAATCTCTTACAGAATATCTACACAGCAGAGTGCGGTTCTGTGGAGCAGCATGTAGATGACCTTGGGACTAAAACTGGTGTACACCCGGGTCTATGCCCTGCACTGTGCTGTGTAGCTACACCCTTCAAGCAGAATCAATGCGTTTGAGATGTATATTTACCGCTTCCTCCCTGCCCCCACGTACCCCCCCAATTAACAGAACGTGTCACACATTTTCACACGTGTCGTAACTTTTCGGACATCATTTTTTAGCTGAGCTGATTATGAGACACTCAAGAAGCCTTTTAACGTTCTACATCTCTCCTATTCCTTTACTGTGACTGCTAGTAGAAAGCCAATACTTAAAATGAATATAGCCCATGTTCCGAGAGTGTAAGAGTGTAAACCAGAAGTACCCCCAATGAAGATAGTCTCTCTTCCAAACAGATACCAACAGTGTAAGCTCCTGCCTGATTTTCTGCTCAGGATCTTACATTCCTGAGCTGTCTTTAAATGCATTCTGTGAAGTTTATTGTTGCTTTGAGCCATAGTGTTAGTGTTAGGGCAGTTGCCAGCTCCCAAGTATCACTGTGTCTTTAACTGAACAAAATGAGCTGAACTCCCCTCCTGGCAGGGAGGGCTGGGGAAGGTTCGTGGGATATCGAACCAACATAGAAGCCACCGTGGTATTGATCTACTTGCAAAATGGTTCCACATTTGAATTTTTAAAAAGATTTAAAAGAATTGAAAACATTTTATCAGATGTCAGAAAAGCAGCTTTTCTAATCTATTGGAAACTTATAAATTTATAATTAAAGTTGCATGAATTAATAACTTTTAAGCACATTACTGCTTTCTAGAAGCTGTGTAAGAGAAAGGCATCCAACATCTTGAGAACAAGGAATTTTTTAAAAACTTCTCCTAACAAAGTTACAGTTGTGTGATAATACCATAGTTAACCACATCTACTAAAATTTTCACAACAATGCACACCACTTGGTTAAAAACAACTGTTTCTTATTCATAATTTAGACCTGAAAGATTAGCAGGATTATTAGGTAAAAGATATTGTTTTTTCAGTCAAGTTCAGTCAAGCACAGGCAGCAACACAAAGTCAGCTCACAATAAAACTGCTCTGACACAGTAAAAAAAAAAAACCTCCTTTAATATAATGATCTATTATCAACCTCAGCTAACTGGGATTCCAAAAGCTGTGAAACCAGCTAGCTTCCCACCTTGTTTGCTGTTCGTATTTGCATGGCAAACACAGTATCTAGCAGAGTTGGGGAAAATGATCGCATTTCAGGTAGCTACACAGATGGATTCAAAATAGTCCACAATACTATGACTCCTGAATGAAACTTAATTAACACGATAAAAGCCAAGAGAAAAATCCTATGTCCCTACTCAGGCAAACTTTCATGAAATTTGAATACATGAGAAGGACTCAAAGATGTGATCCTTCCTCACTCATGAGATCCCTCTTTGTCTTTCCTCTTCTTTTTGAGATCCAATGCCTAAGCCTGAAAATGGTTGAGGAAGCCAAACGCAGCTGTTAGGAGTTGTGACACAACTGGTAAGATGCAAGAGACTGCTCCTGTCTGACCAAGTGTATTCCTATCGGACAGCATATTTCTCCTAGACTGAAAAATCTGTTTCATGCTCAGTAGTATTTTAAACAATGCTTATCTGGTAGGAATTTCCACTCTTGCTGTTCAATTGCATTTGTTTCCAATTATGCATCTGAACCGTTCCTTAGCAATGAAGTGAAAATGTGCAGAAAATAACAACTGCAAAGACTTTCCATAGCTCACAAAAGTTGATTCACTTAACAATATATGCACACAGTGATGAAAAATAAGTTAGTGACGGAGCTGAGACCATGGCAAAGAAATGAAGGCCAAGTGAAGTCTCCATAAGGAAACTGAGTTTTTTTCAGCAGGAGGATGAGATGATGACTATTCAGGACAAGATGGATAAATGAGTTCACCAAAGGTAATACAAGATATAGTTGCCGTAACTACCTAACAGCGCCAAAAAGCAAATGCAGATGGCAAACATGGAACTAAAGCTCAGGCCTGTATCCTTGTGAAAGATCGCCAGTGTGATTTCACAGTTACGTCCAGTATAACCATCAGGGCAGTGACATTGGAACTTGGTTGGTGACTGCGAGATGCAGGTACCATAGTTACAGGGCCTTTTAGCACATGCAGTGTAGACGCACTGTCTACCAGTGGCATTCTCCATGATCATGTGTCCCGGAGGGCAACTGAAAAGACAAAGGCAAAATGAAACCATTAAACTTTGGGAAAGTAGGCACGAAAGACAGCATTTAAGATTTTAAAACAGTCTTTGATGACACTCTATATACAGTTTCTGAAATAGCTACTAGAAGTAAGTTACTTGGAATAATTACAGGATTGTAGTCTTTTCTAAAGCAGTCATACAACAATGAGCTCCACAACTTTAAACCCTTATATCTGGGGCTTTCAGAACTCAGGTAGTTCCACCGGCTTCTGCAAGATTAGCCACGTGAAAAATAGCTGGATTAAGGTCTGCAGTTCCATCTAGGCAGGACAAGCTATGCTATGTTCTTTGTGTTTCCATCACAGTGAATTTCCAGAAAAAAAATACATCTCTAGAAAACTCCATTTGTGTGGACAGTGGTATTCAGTAATGCTTAAAGTGTACATTTTCACAGCACAACTAACTTGAATTAGTGTTGTCCTAACCTCAGCCCCAGCCACACACAAGAACTCAGAGCTTAATGATGCAGTGCTTCTAATGCAACTTGAATGGCCTGTAAGGGAACAGAGGTCACAGCTTAAGACAGTGTAAGACGACAGACACTAACAAAAGAAAGCACATCTCCATTGCACAGCACGAGCTTCACAAGACAGCTAGCCATGCTAGTGTTCCACTCTACTCCATCTAACATACCCTCTTTTCCTGGTTTTCAGGGTTTACAAACAATCTGGATTTGCTCCTATTCTTTAAACATTTTCAATTAAGACAGGCAGCCGAAATTGTTACAGAATCAACGGCGATATGCTGATTTACATCAGCTAAGGGTAGTACCTAAAAGGACAGTGTTTTAAGAGTAACCTGATGCCTATGCAGGCATCTAGCTTAGTGTTTCACTGTGGTTCAACTGATTTGATGAGATTGCCAGTGGCAGCCTTCAAGTTGCACACTTCTTCAGCATCCACCCTTTCCCACCTGAATCTGAAAGGTTTTGTGCTTTTATTTCCACCAATTACCTGCATTCATGCATCATCCACAAATCAATACAAATAAATTCCTGGTTACAAGGGTTATTCCTACAAGCCTCTGAAGAACAGCCTTCTTTGATGCCTTGGGTGCTTAATACTGACACCAGCTCCTTCACGTGAGTGTCCAGAGGGATTCTGTAGTTATTCAGTCTGACATCCTTCATACATCCTGAGGCAAGGCACAAAGAGACTGTTTTAAAAGCCATTCAGCAAGAATGATTTGAAGCAGCTGTAAGTTTTGGCAGCTTATGTTTAACAAAGGACCCAGGCTACCAAAGTTTAAATCTAGGACTGAATTTACCTAAACTTTCATAACATTGTTCTCCATTTTTTGACTGAATTTGTTAAAGTTTTGATCAAGATTCCCAGTGTTTTACACAAGAATTAAGTGCTGCTGCAGGCCCCATCTGCTTGTGTTCAAGACAGCAGAACACGTACCCCTTCACTATGTTTTCAACAGAAAAGTCCAAATATTGTGGAAAATCTGTGATATTCTTCAATGTGTACCAGTATAAATTGTGTGTGTTTGATTTTTAATTTTAGCTTACAGCTTGACTTTATAGAAGAGCAAACCAAAAATAATGGTGAAACGGCCTTGGATCACTAATAGAAACTTTGTACTGAACATGTGTGGCATTAATTTCGTATGCATGAGATGCCTCAGCATAAAAGCATTTACCTTGATGAATTAAGTACATTTTATAACTTCAAAGCCCTTAAAGTTTCAGCTGCTTAACAGCAACATTAATTGTCCTAGTTACATGAAGATAATTTTAAGTATTTGACTTCTTTAACCTATTTAGTTAAAAACAAATACTATTACTCCCACAAATAAAAATTCAAAATATGGTCCCTAGTTCTCAGTATAAACTTTAGTTATTGGAATACTTCTAATGAAACAATAGAAAACAATCTTCTTCTAAATAATTTGTGATACGCTTATGTTG